TATACTGCAAAAAAAAAAATCAAAGAAACACTTTGAAATACATCAGACCTCAATGGGGAAAAAAGGATGCCACATCATTTGATGGAAATGAAAATTAACAACCTACAGAGGGCTGAATTCAAAGACACCCCAAAAATTACAGTGAAAAAATTATGATGCGGCAGGCTAGTCCATTTTGCTAAAATTTCATTGCAGCAACTCAAAATGGTATTCAGTAATATGTACGCCCCGTCCCCCCGTGCGTGTATGCATGCCTGACAACGCCGGGTCATGCTCCTAATGAGACGACAGATGGCGTCCTGGGGTATCTCCTCCCAGTTCTGGACCAGGGCATCACTGAGCTCCTGGACAGTCTGAGGTGCAACCTGGCAGCATCGGATGGATGGAAAGATAATGTCCCAGAGTTGTTCTATTGGATTTAGGTCAGGCCAGCGTGGGGGCCAATCAATGGTATCAATTCCTTCATCCTCCAGGAACTGCCTGCATACTCTCGCCACATGAGGCCGGGCATTGTCGTGCACCAGGAGGAACCCAGGACCCACTGCACCAGCATAGGGTCTGACAATGGGTGCAAGGATTTCATCCCGATACCTAATGGCAGTCAGGGTGCCATTGTCTAGCCTGTATAGATCTGTGCGTCCCTACATGGATATGCCTCTCCAGACCATCACTGACCCACCACCAAACCGGTCATGCTGAACGATGTTACAGGCAGCATAACGTTCTCCACGGCTTCTCTAGACCCTTTCACGTCTGTCACATATGCTCAGGGTGAACCTGCTCCCATCTGTGAAAAGCACAGGGCGCCAGTGGCCAACTTGCCAATTCCAGTGTTCTGTTGTAAATGCCAATCGAGCTCCACGGTGTCGGGCAGTGAGCACAGGGCCCACTAGAGGACTTCGGGCCCTCAGGCAACCCTGGTGAAGTCTGTTTCTGATTGTTTGGTCAGAGACATTCACACCAGTGGCCTGCTGGAGGTCATTTTGTAGGGCTCTGGCAGTGCTCCACCATGCTCCTCCTTAAACAAAGGAGCAGATAGCGGTTCTGCTGATGGGTTGTAGACCTTTTACGGTCCTGTCCAGCTCTCCTGGAGTAACTGCCTGTCTCCTGGAATCTCCTCCATGCTCTTGAGATTTTGCTGGGAGACACAGCAAACCTTCTGGCAGTGACACGTATTGATGCGCCATCCTGGAGGAGTTGGACTGCCTGTGCAACCTCTGTAGGGTCCAGGTAGCGCCATGCTAACAGTAGTGACAGTAGCCAAATGCAAAACAGGTCAAAAAGAGTCAGAAAAGATGAGGAGGGGAAAAAATGTCAGTGGCCTCCACCTGTAAAACCATTCCTGTTTTGATGGTCGTCTCGTTGTTGCCCCTCTAGTGCACCTGTTGTTAATTTCATAAACACCAAAGCAGCTCAAACTGACTAACAACCCCCTCTGTTACTTACCTGACCAAATCAATATCCCAGAAGTTTAATTAATTTGATTCTATACTCTGATTACAAAGTGTTTCTTTAAAATTTTTTAGTAGTTTATATATGAGAGTCATGGGTACTTGTTGATGGCATTAAATGTTTTTAAGACTGTCAAAAGGGCCTTAAAAAGCATTAAATTAGAGATAATTATTCCTGTATAAACCGTGTAAATGCTGCCATGTTTTGTCCTCAGATGACGAATCAGGTTTGCGGTGTTAAATGCAGCTCCGCTGCCACCTCCTGTGGACATTGCCATGTTGCTTTAGGACCATCTTCACTATTGAGAGAAAAATATTTTCACTCTTCTGTCATGCTTAGATTGCATTGCAACAGAGGTTTGAACTGCGCAGTTACTGTCAAACGTAACCAGCAGGTACTTTACGGCAATAGCTGTGAATATTGACATTCTGATCACTGGAAAACAGAAAAATATCAAGCCGAACCGAATACACGATCAGGACATCTTTAGTAGGAATGGCCTAGTCAAAGTCTAGACAATAATCTGGAGATTGTTGTTCATATGCAAACCTGTCCAACAGGTTTGAAGGAGCTGGAGGAGTTTCCCCCAGAATAAATGGAAAAATAACCCAATAATTGTTCCTATTAATGGGGGAGGGAATGGTTGCATATCTTTTTCTGTTTGCAAGCTCTTCCCAATTAACCGATTATTACATTAAACCAGTTTATATGTTCTAACAAATGAAGAGGTATGTTCTTTCTGTATCTCTGCTTCTGTCTCCTTGAACCCCAGTCGGCCTCAGCAGATGGCCGCTCACACTGAGCCTGGTTCTGCTGGAGGTTTCTTCCTGTTAAAACGGAGTTTTTCCTCTCCACTGTTGCTACAAGCATGCTTAGTGTGAGGGAATGCCTTCAAGTCAATGCAATCAACTGGTTTTCCTTAGATAGAAAACTTTGAATCAATCTGCCTGGATGATCTGGTGAACTGTAAAGTTCCTGGAGATGACGTGTTGTGAATTGATGCTATAGAAATAAACTGAATTAAAGAAGTACAAAATTTTAAACAAATCCTCTAAATCCAGGATGTGAGACATCAAAAAGAGGAAAACGGCAGCAGATAAAGCTGTGTTTTTACCACTGTTATAGAAGCAAACAGCTTCTCCATCTTTTGATTTTTCTGGAGCTTGATGCATTAAAAGTCAAATGATCAGTGCTTTTATTGGAAAACACTTTAAATCCTGAGGTTTGGGAGAGAAGGCATTAAAATGAGTTTTTTTTTTAAGCAGCAGGAAATCCTGTTCCATTGGTCTAACAGGAAGGTGAAGGATTGAGTTTACTGTGTTGTATTAAAAATCAAGGAGGGGAATAATTGAAATGTTATTTCTGATTTTATGTCTGTGTTAGATTGGAGGTCAGCTCCTTGTTGAATAGAAGCATGTGTTTGAGTCAAAAAGCTTCACTCCGTCTCCCACAGTAGTGACAGGAAGGACTCTCAGTAACATTCCCTTCTGCACCTGTTTAAAGATTTAGTGTCATGGCCTCAGCTATGAACAACCACAAATGGAACGCCATGCTTTACACTCTGGACAATGGAGCCCTTTAAATGAGTGGAGACAGAATATCCAACTACAACTAGACATTCACTTAATTCCAATCCTGTTTATTTCCTGGAAAAATGGGAATACAAATTAAATAATTGAAGGTTTTCCAGCTAGAAATGCTTACCCGTAGGGAAACCATATTTAAATGTCAAATCATTCTGGCTTAAACATGTATATAAATGTTCTCTTTATCAGACTATATTGTCCCAAAATTTAGAAAATTTCTTTTTTTTTTTTTTTATCCTGTCTTAAAATCTGTGTTTTTTTCGTTATCTTATGCTGGCCAGTTAGTTATACGTCAGCCTGAACACCTAAATCCGACCAATCATATATCAACGGTCATCTGTCAATCAAATTTTTTTTCACATGTCGCAGCTAATATATGCAACGGTTAAAATAAAAATCATTTCCTTTCCCATTGAGCTCCGTCCCAGTGTTCACGGGGATGGACGTCTGTGTCTTCAGCAGGCGTAGAGCTAACAGAACTGGCAGCGTTGCGAGGCAAGGGCTCAAACATGTACGGCTGGAAGCCTTCTACACCAAACCAAGCTTCTGACGCCCTGGCGTCCTCTTCAACCACATCTTCATCCCCGCTTTCCTCCTCTAAATAAAAAATGGATGACGGAGGAGACTCATCCACGACCTCTGACACTAAACTCTCTACCTCTTGCATGTTTCCTCTGTCCATAGCGTTCCTTGACAGTGTCGTTTCTAAGTCACCAATTTAGTTCTACTTGGTCCTAATGGAATTTCCCATTGGGAACCTACTAGCACTAAGTTGCTAACTGGTTAGCAAGATGCTTCCAAGAAACCGACCACAATCAAAATGTTTGAGAACCTTCCGCCACAACAATCCTGTTCCCTTGATTGACGACCAATCACATTCACTTAATTAACTTGTGTAAAGACGGGAACCACTCTGGGGAATTGGGAAATGCAACGGTTGGAACAGCCTTTTCTCTACGACTTTAAGTTACTGAGATGATTGAAAAAGCCATGTAACATCTATTCAATGTTGGAGCCGCTCAGACCCCCACATACTGGCAGTGCGCTGTCACTGAGAATCCCCAGCAGCAGCTGCCTCAGTCTGCCCAGTCACCTCTTGGGGGTTTTCCCCTACCGTTCATGGTGACTTGAAGTAGACGTTAGCATTTTTTAGGCATGTGCTACAAATTGCAGGCACCAGGATAATAAAATCGAACATATTTTGTAGGGAGGTTCCGATATTTTAAGTTATTTTAGGCATTAATAAACTGTTTCAGAGGAGTGATCATAGCGCTCTGCATCAGCAGCACTGTGTCTGTCGCCCTGTCAGCTCCCATATCAGCTTCTCTGATTGGTTGATTGTCGAGCAGCATAAATTAAATGTTTCCAACTCCAGCAGCAGATGCTTGTGAAGTACGTTGCGTGCCTCAGATGCTCAGAAGCTCATGAGGTGCTGCTTCAGAATTTCCAATGTGTCAAGACGCACCGCTGCTGTTCTAGACGTGTTGCAGCACCTTTTGATGAACCTTGATGCGCATCAACCATTTACTTTGCATGTAGAACGGCTGCTTCTGGTGATCAAAGCAAATTAGTTGTTAACGTAGCATTATGGCTCTTAGCCCAAGCTAAAGGACTACGTCTGATAATGAAGCACTAATAACCCAACATTAGAAACATGAATGTTGCTGAACAACACTTTGGGTCAACTAGCCGTTGACCCAAAGGGACCCAAAACATCACTGCTGCTGTGTTTTCTATCCCGCCTTAAATCGTAACACTGCTAATAATGGTTTGCCTCAGCCTCAAACCATTTAAGCGGGATAAGATGGATTCCTGTTTGTTTTTGTATTCTACCAGACTTCAGCCTAGAGACGAGGATCTAAATGGAGTTGGGATCTTAATTCTGACAGAGAGGAAATGTTGATATTCTGACAGACTTTGACTTCTGTTATTTCCTGTCTGTTTTTTTCATTTCCTGTGCAGAAGCTCGCCTCACAGCTGCCAAAGCTACGGGAGGTTAGAGATGCTCCTAAAAACTGCCTTTGTCCTCCAGGTGAGTGGAAGCACTTAGCCGCTCACATTTCTCTTGCTTTCTCTCACACACTAACCAGACTACATGCAGTATGGAAGGATTAGCGCCACTGAAAAAATTAAACAAGTTAACTGATTTCAAATATTATTTCAGTTTAATGTCGGAAAAAAGTCAGAATTCTGACTTTAATTTTAGAATTCTTTTTTTTTTTTTTTACAGTGTCCTGTGTGGCAATAAGAATAATTGTCTTGATGCCCAAAAAGAGCCCAACAGATTTTACTTTCACAAGTGGAGCAGTACGGCTATCGCCATAGTGTTCCGCTTGATTTATGCATATAAATTGCTTTATTATAATTCATGCAGGGAGTATTACAGATTATATGGACACTGCAATGTAAGTAGAACAGGAAAGGAAAAACAGGAAAAAGGAGAAAAGATGAAAGAAACAGGAGATAAAATGGACATAATGATAAAACGTCTTCTGTCTGCTTCATCAAATGCAAATCCCAGTTTTGGATCTTAATGTAGATGGGCACCATGAAGGAAGAGATGTGGAACACTCAGCTTCACTGATAAAGATTTGAGTTGTTTGGAAGGGCCAGTAACACATTGGTTGAAAATGACGGAATTAGGCGACATTTTACGTGCTGAGAGATCCCTGGTTATGCTTTTTCATTAATGGAAGAGCTGAAGGTCATTAAAACAAGAGAATTAGTTTAGACTCTACAACAGACATGGCTTGATGCTAACATGTTTGTTAGCTGTCAGAATTCAGTCAGAATTCAGAATTCTGAGATTAAAGTTTGAATTCTGAGAAAAGTTAGAATTCTGACCTTTCTCCTATATCATACTGAAATAATATTTAATTTCTTAATTCCTTCCCACTATCAGTTCAACCCCCTACCCCCATACAGGGTACAAAACATCTCGCCTGGGCAGCCAAGCCAACAATTGCCCCTAATGACCCCCCTTTGAGATGCATAGACAGGTATGGGGCCTTACAGGCTAACAAAGAAACCAAAACGACCCCAATTCCAAAGGGGAGGATCCCTTGTTCTGGTTCACTTTGCACGTTTTATAAGCCAAAACAAGTTTTTGGGCTATTTCTGACATTTCGAATTGAAAAAGCTTCCTGGATAGGAAGAGAAACGTCTTCAGACTTGGAAACAAAGATTGTTTTTTAACTTTTTCAAATGACTGTGACCTGGATGACTGAGAATCTTCACCAACTTCTGCTATTTTCTGACATTCCTTTTCCACTCCTGCACTTTATGAAATGAAAATGTTCCTTTTCACTGCTAAGCTGCGGCTCATTCACTGTCTAAAGCTGTATAAAATCTTTTTTTTTTGGAGACCAAGGGTGTAACTTTGTGATGAAAGGTGGTTGCTCCACCCGAATGCTTTCATTAGCTTTCTGTATCTGTAGCTTTCTGTAAAATGAGCTCAAACATATATTTATTGATGCTTTCCTATTGTTGAGAACACATGAGAACCACAATACATTGATATATAATATCTTTAGATGCCTTTTAGTGCATCAAATATATAGAGCCTAAAAACATTAATGTATAGAAAAAATAACAAACAACAGCCGACTCCAATGCCAAAATTGATATATACAATTTCAATTCCATCCAGAAAAAATGTAACATTCTGATTTTTAAATATATCAAAGCATATTTTTTTCGTGTAAACTTTCTAGTAACTTTGGAGATATATTTTATTGCATCTTGCATACTCCAGTAAATCTGTTTCCCCTTTAAATCTTCAGCTCTCCCAACTTCTCTCTCTGCTGTTTAAAAAGATTTATGAACCTCTTTACTAACATAATGATGCCAGAAACTAAATTTCAAGATACGTAGAAGCTCTGCAGTCTGATTCTATCTGAACAATAAGAAAACATTTTAACCTGTAACTGGGAGTCATGGTCCTCTGAGAAGCCAAGATTTTATAGTAAAGAAGGAAATTTAAACTGTTTTCTCAAGCTTCTGGCTAAGCTTCAGCAAATTCGATGAAGTTACACTGAGAGGCGGGACATGGGAGCAGAGCGAGAGAGGAAAAAACACAGACTCAAAATGCTCTGAACACAGTTAACTGCAACCAACCTTTGTTACCTTTGGCTAAAGTTAATGAGCAGAAAGGGGAAAAAAGCAGAAATTATCCCCACCAACTGAGGATATGTCCTAACCAGTCCTAGAGAAAGTTACGCCTGCAATGTAGACACTCGTGTATACTAAATAATAAGTCTGCTATTATTGTTTATCCATGATGCTATGCTACAGTAGGTCTGAAAGGATGGAGCATCATTACTAGATGATGAAATGTTACAGAAAGCATTCCACATTTAGGCCTTGACTTATTCAGTTACACAGTTTAACACTTAGGACTGAAAGACGAGTACTGAAGCAGAGAGCGGTCATAATAGAACTTTTTTTCCCTTTTGTCTTCTCGAGATAATGACATAACTATCTCGTTATCACAGTTTGACCATTAATTGTTTTCTCGAGTTAAAAAGGTAATTATCTCGTTATCACAAGAAAAGAGTTATTGATTTCTCAAGGTAATAAGCTGATTAATCTGTATGGGTAATGAATGAGGCTGGCCAACAGCCCTGGATTCCCAGTCCATCCATGCCTGCGCTGCCCGTAGTTGTGCAGTCGCTGTACCGTGTGTTCTCAAATAATCAGTTTTTTAGTTTCCTTTTTCTTTTCACTCATTGTCAGGTCATGGTGCATGACTGGACTGCATGGAATACAGTAGAAACAAATCAGACTGACTTTAATCTGGACTCATTTTGCTGGTTAATGCATCTTATACCTGTTACAGGTGTAACACCGGGGCTGTTTAGAAAAAAAACATTGCTAAGTAGAGGGAGGAATAGGTCTAATTCCTTATGAATCACAAGTTGAAGCAAATCATCAAAATAACAACGTTGTCTCGTTACCCAAAAGTTAAACAGGATTTTTTACAGAATTACAAACACCAATCATTTTGTTATTATGAGAAAATGGCTTTTTTATTTTTAGATAATGAGAAAACCACTGTGAAAAAGTATCGGAGGGACACGACCGCTCTGGGCTTCCGTAGACGAGCATTGATCCTGAAAAAATCTACATAAATGTCCTAAACCCTGCTTCACGGAATATTGTGTAACAAAAGGTAAATGGATCTTAATCCATCTTCATGAATCGTTTTCCACAATGGCGGTCATACAAAAAAAAAAAAAAAAAAACAAGCCGGTAAGGTACCAAATAGGAAATGTGCATAGTGTAGAGCGGATGTAGATTTGACCAATCAGAGGCCTCCTGTCTGTGGTCACCTACAATTTTGGAGAGCTGCAGCAGTGTGTGTGGAAGGGGGAGGGGCACATTTGCATTCACTGCGACGTTTCTGAGCATAAACCAGCCTTAAGGCAGTTCAGCTCTGCTTAGAGCTTTGCCAATTCTGCAGCATTCAGTGTAATTAAATGAAATCATTAAATAATTTGCTACTGTTTCTTGTTTAGCCAGTCACTAATTCAAAGCAAGTGACCAGTCACTGTTCCTGGTCCTAGATCCTTCAGCACTATTTGGATAGCATTTATTTTGACTGAGGCAAATCCAGCGTAGCTCTATGGAAGAGGATTAGGGCTACTGAAAAAAATGTAAAAAAGTTAACCCATTTTAAAATTTTATTTCAGTATAATCTGATAATTCTGACTTCAATCTCAGAATTCTGACTTTAATCTGAGAATTCTCACTGAATTCTGCCAGCTAACAAACATGTTAGCATCAAGCCGTAGCCATGTCTGTTTTAGAGACTAAACCAGCTCTCTTGTTTTAATGACCTTCTGCTCTTCCATTAATGAAATAGCATCACCGCGATCCATCAGGCACGTAAAAATTGCCCAATTCCGTCAATCCCAGATTAAACTGAAATAATATTTTAAAATCAGTTAACATTTTTTTAGTAGCCCTAATCCTCTTCCGTATAGCTGAGATGTCCATGCTCCAGGTATTTAGTTTGAGACATAGTTTTTGAAAGCAGCTTTTGTTATGATCCAAATCTGATATAAAATTCAGTTTTTCACTCTTGAGTTTTTATCTCAGTCTGGAAGAAGCTGTGCTGTGATTGGTTGAGTCAGGATCAGACCAGTGAAATAGAGGCTTTAAAGCAGGACTAAAAGGAAGGAAGGAAGACGCTGCTGGTTTTAAACTTTTCTACATCTGAACCTTAAACTGTCTGGGATATTTTCTGCTTTAGGTTTGAAGTTAGCTTTAGCGTCTGACCTCCCCTCAAGGCGTGGCAGCGACCTCACCTTCGATTCACTTTATCCAATCCAATTCATTTATGCTGAATTTTAACTGTTGAATTAAAAGAAATTTGGTCAGAATATTCAACAAAGTTTTCACTGTGTTACATATTTATAGGAGCATCAGGTGTTTTTGTCAAAAATCATTTGATAATGCTAAACAGCAGAGGTGTCATCAAGTAACAGAGTATAAATACATTGTTGCCTTTATTAAGTAGAAATGTTTGCCATCAATACTTAGTGGAGTAATTATTTTTTAGACAACTATTTACTTCTACTCCTTACATTTTAAAAATGGTTTCGTTGGTTTTTTTCATTTAAGCTCATTTTAATTATGGCCTGTTGGTATTAAAAAAAAATAAAAACCACCAAAATAATTAGTTTCATCCAGACAATTCATTTCTTTGTGGTTGGACTCGGTGCTGTGCCAACTTGTTGTTCATCAAATATCAAAATTAATAGTTTTCAAGATGATGCAAAGTTAAATTTGACACGGTTAACATTAGTTATAAAACTAAGAAAAGGAAGTCTAAGGAAATTATCATCCAGAATTGTAAAAATAAAAGATTTTTCCTGAATTACTTTTACTTTTATACTTAAAGTAGTTTTAAAAATGGTACCTTTATATGGGGCGCTATTTGTAAAGTTAAGCAATGATAATTAGGAGCAATATTTATGGTTATTTAGTGTATTTTAAGAGAAAAATTAGGGGCTTATTTTTTCCAATTTT